GCCTCTTATTTCACGAAGGAAATACATTGCGTTTTTATCCGACTTTGTTTTTACATTTTGTCAGACACAATTCTGTTTCAAGTTAAGTTTTACGAGCTCGTATAATAGATTTTTAAATATTATGTATCCTTTGAGGTGGGTTAGGTTTGTCTTTGAACGTTTAATAAGCCTTTCAATTAAGGTTGTGTTTGATAATCAATATTAATTTCAAAGGATTCTTTATCTTAATTATATATATTTCCCCAACATAATTTGATTTTCATGAGCATTTGATTGTAATTGGCGTATTCCTTCTCCTCCTTAACATTCTAATGATTAGGCTAAAATGATATTCCTTTCCTTTTAGCTCTTTTGTATAATTTATACTAATTTTAAAATATGCTTGCTTAAACTGAAGAATAATTAACATCCCAAGTTTTCAATTTTACAAAAATGAAACATTTGTAGGCGAAAATTTATCATAACTGCTTCCCTAATGTGCAAGGAAGAAAGGAGAGATACCTTCATTCATTTAACAATGTCTCATTTTGTTTTATTTCTTGGTTGTAAAGTATTTAGACATTTAAATGCATAGTATTATTCGCTATGCTGATTATGCTGAATGGCGTCCTGTTTCATTTCAAATGAAAGAGATGTATGGAATAGGAAATTCTTACGTTTATTTATATTTTATTGCTGATGGTTTGTACCTATCAGGTAAGAAATATAAAACCGATATTATAAAATTTAACCAATTAAAACGAAGTAGGCAGTTAGAAGGACAAGTAATAAAACGTTTATTATCTGAGAAATGTGTGTAATATTAAATAAAATATTTTCTTTTGCTTGTACATGTGACACTTTTTGTATGAATAATAATACATTATCCTGAAGAAAAAAAAGACAAGATTGAACGCATAAACTGAACCTTTCTTCACCACCACTGTCTTCTTGTTGTGCTTGCTAATTTCCAGAAGGTACCTTACTTCCCGCGGCATTTGAGCAGTTGGTAGTATCCTTGTTGTTTCTCTTGTCGAACACATGTAAAAATCTGGAAAAGCGGTTATCCTTCAGAAGCAAAGAAAACAACATTGCCATATGAAAAGTGCAGACTCAGTTTGATTGAGTTTGTTCAAGACAGACAATGTATAAGTGCAATATCGCTAACGCTCCTAGCGGCGGCTGTAAACGGTATTCAATCTCTAACCTTAACGTGCCAGAATCAATGTCACCGAATGACTAGACAAATCAAAAACACTAAAGCCAAGTACGGAGCATGTTTTTACGGCAGCAACTTGACACTTTACAAAAAAATGGGTGAAATACTTCATTCACAGAAACTGTTTCTTTTATTTAGTAAGCTTGGTCTAAATTGCCGTTGCATACAGATATAGCATTTTATAGCAGGGCCCCTACAAGACAGAAATCTGAAATGATCATATCATTCTATAATTCAGAAATGAGTTATAAGGCTTTCTTGCATCTAATATGTTACTTCACTTTATTTGTTTGTGATCACATGTTAAACAAGCTGTATCTTTTATTTAGTTTACTAGGTGTTCCTCGATAGCCATTTAGTCTTTTATATGTAGCTAGTTACACGCTATATTCTGTTAGGTCAAAAGATATTATTATATTATTATTAATTCTTCAGTGCTTTTATTTGCCCTTGTTATAACTTGTTATAACTTTCTTGATTCATTATTTTACGACACAATGCTTTATTTTCAGAACGTTCATCGCAACTAATTTAGAACAGTTTTAACATATTCATAAGCACTCGTGTCGTTTCGTGTGAATCTGTTTGTTAGATTGCCTTGATTTACGCTGTTTTTATTTTGCTTTCACGACATGTCTGGGCAGCTTTGCGTATTTGATATCGCCGTTTAAGTTGTGATCATGTGATAACATTTTTGATTGTGCATTTCATTTATGTCGAATTGCACGATATATTTGAAAGTGCCCATCATTATCTTCAATGAAACTACTGTGTTAGTCATTACAACATTTTACCATATTTATTTGAAAGCAGATCAATGCAATTTATTTGTGTAATGACCAGTACGTAGTAGTGTCATGCTCAATAGGCCTATATATAGTGTTCTGCACGATATGTTATATGTAAACAATCACAATCTTTAATAAGACCAACACATTTATATGTAATAATTATAGTACATTTGGTACACAAAAAAAAGCAAAATATGGCAGAGGTGAAATAAATTAAGAAATGATCGATCGATTCCAAATGCAATCGATATTTTAACAATGTATTTAAAAAAAACAGCATTTTATTCATTCTATTTTAGAGAATATTAAATCCAAACGTATGTCCTGTAAATAAGTCCTTATAATAAAATTTGAAAATCACTCTATAGGTTTTATAACCTTATTCCTTCAATTAAAATACGCGTTGTATCTAGTGTATTCTAAAGTGAGACCATCAGGATTGTTATCCAGGAGTCGCTGATTTGGTAATCGGGCAAGGGGGTTATCACTACAACAGATCTCTGACATTAGTAGTATTTTTCACTCAATGCGTATTCAAAAATGAAGAAGGGTATGAGGTCGGCCAGTTGCGAAGAAATTGGTCTTAACTTGTCAGTTGCCCGTAATAGCCTGTACTACGTGTAAGAATCGAATTGAAACCAATCGACCAAAGAAACACAACAATCTTGCGAGATACCAAATATAATGTTTATTTGTGATAGTGCATCATGCAAAATAACGTGTCTACACGAGGTTCAATTGTAATAAATTGTACTTCAGTTATGTCAATGAAATTATCGTATTGAACATAACAGTTTCAAACAGACAATTATCAATAGATACACGAGATGATTCTTGGGCAAAATCATTCAACATAATTATAAAGAAGTTAAATCTTGATATAACACTTTCGTTTTCTTGCTTGTTAGCTTTTGATTTTGAAAATTGTAATGTAAAAGTATTAAGGCAGCTTACGTTTAATTCTTTATTAGTTATCGTAGGAAACCTAAAAGCTTAGTTGTTGAAAAGGGTTAGTTGGACGGATAAAATATTTTTTCATCCTTAACATGTCCACACAAGTTAATGAAAATGAAAATTTTTTCAGTAGCCTATTGTCAGGTATATACGAATCACGAAAACATCCGTAAGATCAAACCGAGCGTGCACTATTGTCAATTTTGTCGTTTTTTGGGCGTTCTATTGGGATTCGTTTTTCCTGTTTTGTATTCAATTTAGCGTGATGCTTTAAAATACACATTTTTTATTTATAACATATCTGAACAGCTGCAGTAAATCTAGGAATATAATCAGAACTTAAGACTTGTCTTACTTAAAGCAATGTTATATTTTCACCACTTTTATTCCTATCTGATTTTCCCCACGGTAAGGTCGTATTTCTCGTTACTTTTAAAATGTCAGTTGTATCATTAAAAAGAACAATAGAAACAAGATAAATGGTAAATGAATAGCATGTTAAGTGTTTGCTGTAGTTTGATAACATAGGGAACCGTTAACACTTATAATCCTCCATTTGTTTAATGTAATATACTGCTTTCTGTTTGTGAACAAGATTATCCATTGATAGTGATATAGGCAAATGATTTATTATCTGCATTACTGGGATATTATACAAACTTGCCTGGATTATCTTTTAACAGATCAAAAGTTACATTCAGATATTTACAAAGCCTAACTTCTGGAACTTCAAACATAAGTGTTTTGTTATCGGAGTTTCCTTTGTTTGTTCTATGATGCTATATAGGTTTGTTTTATATTGAAACTAATAGGTAGTTCTACTTTATATCTAATCTTGCATTCTTTAGACGTTGAAATTATTTTATTTGTTTGCTCATAACCTCCTCTTACACTTTAAAGGAGATAGAATGAGATGGGATGGGGGAGAGACCGGTAAGAAATGTGGTTGTTCCAAACAATACTTGCTCGCCTAACTTTAATATTTTGATTTGTATTACCTCTTTATACAACTACATAAGCTATGCACATAATGAGTGCATTTTTTGTCTTTGTAAGGAATGGAGTATAAAGCGCATAAAAACGTCTAAACTTTCTAAGAGTGATCCCTCGGAAGCATTTATCACAACAAAATAACATGACAATCGCAGACTCGGTTTGATTGAGTCTGTACTTGAGGGATAATGAATAAGTGCAACATCCCTCACGCCCCCTAGGACCGACTTGAGCGGTACTCAATTCTCAACACTTAAATGTGATCCCGAAGGACCAGAAAAATATAACAACACTGAAGTGAAGTAAGGGGCTACATTTTACAGCTGCCACACAGCACTTGGCACCTTTTGTTGTGAAGTATAAATATCTGGAAACAAAGTGATCCCTCGGAAGCATTAATCACAACAAAATTACATGAACATTGCAGACAGACTCGGTTTGATTGAGTTTAAACATGAGGGCCTCTAAATGACCATTTTGTTGCTTTCCAGATAAAACTTCTTATTTTCTCTATCCGTTAACATTGAATAAATGTTTTCCAAAATATTTTATAACATAGTCACGAAAAACTGGAATAAATTCAAATTATCATATAGCAGATCTTTAATTTGTTTTTCCTATTGTCGTCACATATCGAGTTATTAAATGAATAAATTATTTATCATATTATGTTGCAAATGCACCAACTGTCAGTTTAAGGTCCAACAAGAAAAACAGACCTTGATGAAACAATATATCCTTTCAAGCTCGGCATTGCAATGTCTTAAGAACTTACGTTACAACATATTTACAGTAAAAATACTGCCTCTAAATGTTTGCACTATATTAATGTATTAATTTTGTTTGATTTCGCTTAAATGATTGAATGGTTAAAATTTTCATTTTGCGTGTGTCTGAAAAAATGCACGGAGGGTCCCTGATGTCTTCCTTTTAGCTGGACAATCATCGTATGACCTTAACAGTGTAACAGTTAAAATCGTTTAACTATTTTTAACATGAATTCGTTCATATGGAAAGATAATGGTAACTACATTTTTTATATCCTTTTTATCTTTAAAATCAAGGTCGTCGACAGTGGAGTACTATCAACAACTTCTCCGCCACCTGATTCAGATATTGATGATAGCTGGAAAGTAATAAAACACTGGCCTGATGGTGTTATTCCATATGACCTAACAGACACGATGTACGGTAAGTCAATATGTACATCAATATTTGTAACATTAATACATGTACATGCTTGACTGTATGCTTTGATCTTCCATTTTATTGCAACGCAAATACAAACAGTTGCAATGTGCTTTTCGATATATACCAAATCTTTATTAATTTGCTCGGGCGAAGTACTTCTTTTCCTTTTATTTGTTATGGTTGCAATAAAGGACAAGCCATTGACATGTTTGCTTACATTTTATCCGTTTAACGTATTTCTTAATATTAATATTTGTTTCCTTTGGTAAAAGTGGAAATTAAAAGTAAAATATTGAATTTGTAAATTCGAATGTTCTAAATAATCTCTTTGTTAAACTACCGGACAGTATTTGGTAAACATTTGTTTTTTTGTTTTTTGTTTTTTTTCCGAAGTTTAGATCGATTGGAAAGAGGTCTTATATTATCTGCAATGAGGAGATGGGAATATAAAACATGTGTTAAATTTATACCTTGGACGTCGGAACTCGGCAATGAACAGGGAGCGGAAAGATATATTCGCTTTTTTAGTGCTGGAAAGTAGGTATCAATCTACAACTATTAAAACTTAAGAGTATTCTTCTAACAACATCTTTGCCATTAAATGAGGTCTCTTGTGATTTAACACAGATCGGTTTTAGTCAAGTTGTAATTATATGTCCGATCTTTAAAATTATTATTTGCTTAAACCACAAATCTTAACTTTGATGGCTAACGCTATGTTGTCAAGTACGCTAAAACACAAAAGGAGGCCTTGTGAGTATATAATACGCTTTTGTTTTTGTACTTTTGTAAATGTATCAAAATGTTTGATTTTTCTTTTCATTTAATGAACCTTATAATGCTACACATAACAATTCATTGCAGAAGCTGCCAGCATAATTCAGTTGTTCGCAAGTGGTTATATTGTACAATTCAATATTAATTTTATATCTTCTTCGATTCCAGCTGTTTTTCAAGAATGGGGATGCAAGATGAACAGCCACAATTATTTGGCATTGGAAAAGGCTGTTTAAAGGTTTATGTTTATATTTATAATTTGTGTAAAAATTTGTATTATAATTGTTATTTTTACAATAAAATAACATGCTTAGCAAAATAGTATGTTTCACACAATTAAGCATCATTGTGATTGGTGATTCGTTTTATCATTAACTGTAGGCCCAACCCATTTCTTTCAGTAGTAAATTGAAAAGTGAATAGTTTTAGTATTATTTTGCTTAACCCGGTGATAGGAGCTTGGACGGTAACTTGCACTTTCCAGTACCGTCCGTGAACGGAATAAATCAAACCGAGCCTGCAACAATTTAATTTTGCCCTGTTGGGCTTTTTTATGATTCTGTTTTTTTATATTCTATACATAATATCTTTTGCCAGTTACGAAAAGATATTGAAATGGAGAGAAACAGAATTCCCAAAGAATGTCCAAAGGCTCGGTTTGATTGAGTCTGTTCATAAGCAGTACTGAAAAGTGGAAGCTACTTTCAATGCTCCCTAGCATTGGCTAAAGCAGTATTCAACATTTAAACTTGTAATGGTAAACTTCAGTATTTATAATCATCCACATTTGTGTCCATTCGGCGGTGATTATAAAACCCTCAATGTGACAACGTGACTACTTCACGAAAAGCGGTGGATGGTCCCCAAGGAACAAATGCTTGTGCCCTAAACGAGAAAACAATAGGTGGAACTTAACAAAATGAAGTTTTTAAGGGGCATAGGAGCATATGGAGCCTGCATATCACAGATGAGTCGTTCGTAAAATTGATGATTAATTCTATTTATTTTCATCTTGATGTATTGAACGCATATTGTCTATTTAAGATGTCAACTATTCTACATGAGTTGGGTCACACAATCGGTCTGGTTCACGAAATGGAACGTCCTGACAGAGATTATTATATCGACATTCACCGAGAAAACATGAATGAAGATTCAAGAAGGAATTTCGAAACTACTGATTCAAAGAAAACGACATATAATCTGTATAAAACGCCATATGATTATAAAAGTATCATGCACTATGGACCAAAGGTGATCGTATGACGGTTCAAATTATTTAGTTTTCTTTGTGTCGTTGCTCATGTCAGGTTGTGTGCAAATTTATTGCTTTTAGCTTTCCAATTATGCTTAAAGCTTGCTATAGTCCATTTCAAGGCAGCACTCCTCCACGCGTGTTTTGTCTACATATAAATGACTTATATAGTGTTGTACCATCTTCGTTGTTTGTATCTCATGTTTTACTTATCGTCGCCATTAATATATGTCCATTTTATGGTTTCCATGGCTATGTACCTTAATCTGTTTTTTAAGGTATTTCTTATGTCTTGTCTACGTTACTGCACCATTTTGTTGCCATGTATCTGTATGGTACTATTCTATTACACTCAATCAGGTCAAGAAGCATAGCACAAAAATACGAATTTTTATTTATTTCTGAGAATGTGTTTTAATTATCGTTAGCATATTTTTGTTTTTAAGTGTCCCAGCCAGCTCATCTATGTTAAAAACTTAACAATTATTGTATTTGGCATTTGGAACTCAGTGGAGTTTCGTTAAGCCTAATATGGTATTGTATTTATTTAGCAATTTTCAAAAAGTCAAAACGTTGTGTAGCAAAAGGCACTATAAGCTGGAAGAGTACTTCAGTTGGGCCCGTAAAATTGTTTTATAACAAACCGTTTATATAAAAAAGTTGCTGCTAAGTTCTTCTCAGTATTAAATATATTTTCTGTTTTATATAATTAGGCATGGTCAAAGAACAAGCAAGTTGTTTTAGTAACAAAAGACCCTGCCTACCAGCACGTTATTGGAAAGGCAAATGACATCAGCTTTTTTGACGCACTCTATGTTAACAGGGCATATAACTGTTCAAGTAAGTAAATAAAATCCTATTTTTTCAGGGTTCTGTTTTCTCAAATGCCCTGCGTTAAGGTTGTTGTATCGTGATCTTCAGTACTTATTCCATCAGACGAGACTTTCCATAGTTACCTTGGTGCTATTGTCGCACAATCTTAGGCCATGTATCATGCCTTGAATTAGCTGGTTCTTATCTTTGCGTCTTAACTGACCTGATTGTCACGCAATATTTCTAAAATGTAAAGTTTAACACTTTATTTTTTTGCGGAAGTCGAATTCAATAGATACACTTGATATACTGACATAAGTTCATAAACATCGTAATACAATGGATCGGTTTTCATGTATAGCTAATAGTGCGTTGTAATTAAAAAATGTCTAGCCTTTCGTGTGTATTGTACGTGCCTTGTAATATACAATGTATATGTTATTAATTTTTAACGATGAATTCAGTCTGGATAAATTTAAATATGATACGCATCGAACAATACTTAGTATTCTCCAAAATATCTTTTATTCTATTTTTGCTATGAACGGATGAATCCCAGTTTGATAAGACAAATGCAATTATTTCGCTATTTGTTGTACAATCGAACTTGATTTCGTTACTTTTCGTCATATTTTATATACATTGTAAATTAACTCAGATCAGATACATTTACAGGCTTGTGAATGTGTAAGAAAATAATACTGTAAAATACGTGTGTATCTATCAACTGAATGTGTACATTAAATAATTACAGATATAAGATCACAATACAAAACAGCTCGCTATCATCTATTTGCTTCAACATTCTCTTTATTTTAGCTTGCAAGTATTGCTCACTGCAATTTCAAACTGAATCTGAAATGTGTTAATCACACGTAAATGAAATTGTAGATCCTCATTGTTATAATTTGTAGCATTGTCCGCGTATAACATTGGAATATATGGGAAGATAATTGTATCAAATGTTATAGCAATAATAATGTTGTTATAAAATAAATGATATTATTTTTCATGCTGTTAAGGCCTGCCTGTTAAATGTATCGCTGTTCTCGACTTGCATTATGATTATTTTCCTTCTGCAACACTTAATTAAAATCAGTAACCTAGGATATGCACGTGAGTTTGTTGTGATTGACAGTCACACGGTGCATGTACAACCCCTGGGAAGTTCTCTTACTCTGCCCACAGTTTCGTGTCAGATTATAACATACCGTGCAAAATATTCGTAATATGAAGGAACATGTTTGATAATCTAGGTACTGACTAGGTTTGACTAGGTACTTAGAACTTTATAAAATGTTATGCGAAAGCTAATACTTAGTTTGAAACAATCCTCTTTTATCAGCATTAGCTAATAAATGCGCAGAGAAACTGAATAGAGTTTTAAATAGTAAAAAGTCGTAATCTTTAAGGTCATCCGACTAAGTTACTTTGCAATATTGCAAGATTGAATTTGCGTGGACGACGGAACATAATTAATGTTATTGTACTCGTCAACGCCCAAATAGGAACCCATTATTATTATGATTGTATATTTTTTGTTTTATGTTATCTTATTTGTAATCTTCAAAACAAGCATAAGAAATTTATGTTGTCAATCTGTAAAAATCGATAGAAACGCTGCACCATAGAGCTATATTGAGTAAAATAAGATAAAATTCTAATTGTTTTATATTATTATATAATTTAACTTTACTTCATGGGTCGTTCCCAAATATACTGTATTTTTATAAAACATATAAAAAATTCATTATAATATATTCACTGGCTTAATGACATAACTTCATGTTAGAGCGATGTTCTGGCACTTTATTGGGCATATGCCAGAATAGTGGTTTCCTGGGAGGTCCAGACTGCAAGTGTTTGTGTCAGGACGGTTACGCCGGTGAGTTCTGTGAGACCGCATTACCTGGGTTCGAGCATAGTAAGTTTTGTTCTGTCTTTTTTTATTTATAAATACATTCAAAACATTTTATTTACTTTTAATGAAGTGAAACATTGTTTATTTGACATGCATATTTTTATTGTTAAGTTCATATGACTAATTGAAACGTACACAATTTAGTTATTTGTATGATGGGGTCAGTATATCAATAATGCTATGCAAAGGAATTGGTTTTATCATTGAAATACACAATGGCTAACAGTTTGTTTTGATAGTTGTCCTTCGCTAAAAAGTTTCAAAATTAAAACAAAAACTTGTTTGCGTTTAAATAGTATATTTTAAGCTTATAATATTTAAGAAAAGTCTTTGATGCTCCTCTACGGTCCCCACCACAATTACTGTTATGATATAGTTACATTGATCTGTCGTGCTTTTTTAATCTTTGGTGTCAAAGCATTTTAAGTACTACACAGTCATAAATATTCGTGGGGAATTTAGTTTGAGCTTTCATAGATAGATCAATCAACAAATGTAAGCAATGCATAGTCTTTTCTCAGACGATATAGCCCATATTTTGTTTTATGTTTCTTTTTGGCTCATCAAAACGAACCCGTGTTTTGTCATTGATGACAACATTTGCAGAAGACCGTGTATTTCTATTTTGATACTGTTTGAGCAACAACTTTACACGCGAGCATTTTTCTACTCAATTTGCCGTTAAAGATGCATACATATTTTAACACTCTCCGTATTTCGAAATGCAAACTAATGATAAAGATTTTATATTGTGTTCTTATTGTGTATATTTTGCTAGTAATTGAATGGAAGTGTCAAAAAGATTGGGTTTTCCACGGAGGAAAATGTTACCTGTTCAGTACAAAGGAAGACAGTACAGATTTCTTCCGATCTAAGGCATCATGTATACGTAAGAATGCAACCCTCGTTATGTTCAAAGATCGATCAGAGTTGGCAAGTAAAGATTCGTAACAATTATTATTTTTAATTTTAAGTGTTTATTATGCCCAACAAAAAGTAGTAGGTGATACAGCTATGGTTCGTCTATCCGTCAGTACGTTTGTATCTCCGTCTAAAGTCTGCCCAACCTTACGTCTGGCGCATGATTGAAACGTGAAATACGAAAAGGTGTTAACCAGGAGAGGTGCATATATAAAAATTGTAACTGAATAATAGGTTTGTCGTGTAATTTTTGTCCATTCAGAATTGTAATTAGTAAAAGGTAAAAACGTAAATATCAAATCAGTATGTTTTTTTTTTTAATTAACAAAAATGAAACATTGGACTATCAAAGCTCATTATTTTTATTTAGACAATCAATGTTTTGTACCCATCTGGTACTCAATTTCAAAATATTTTTGTCCAAATCGTAAATCAAAATCTATGAAAGAGATGCACAATTTAGAAATAAATAATAATAATAATCTTCAACAACAAAAATTTCCTGTTGCATTTTTTTCAGTTAGAAAGTTCGTTGGCAATGTTTTAAACACACTTTGTACTGAATGACTTGATGGTATTTTAAAATTTGCCTTTTTACATTAATTGTCAGAAATAAACAATGTTTTCTGACTGTACTTGTTCAGAACTTCGATAACGGTAATGATTCACGCAATTATTAAAAGTCTTATCTTACTTTAATAACTAATACATGCATATTAATTTAATATTTAATAACTATGGAATTGTTCTTCTGAACGAATTTGTCTTTCATTTTATTTTTTATATAAAGTAACATGATCGAATTCATTCTCGATGAAATTGTGATTATATCTATGAATGAGACAGTGACTGGTATGACAAAAAATTGATACAATTCGTTTAAATTATAGGAATGGCTGAACTATATGATACAGGAAGTGAAGTTAGTGTCAGACACGTCGTTCTTTTGGGTTGGTATGAGCAGAGAAGTGGGTTCATCTGCTGTGAAATGGGTTGATGGTACACTGGTAGATACAAACCTTGTGTGAGTTATGTTCATAAATATATTTCAAACAAAACATTTTCAGAAGCTTATCATTTTAGACAAACCTTTGTATGACTAAAATATTTTATTGTATATTTCGTTAAAAATGTAGAAATATCAGTACAGTAGTTAGCAAGACATAGTATGAAACATGTTAAAAAAGAGGTGTCATTGAACCCAAGCCAAGGTATGCATTTCCGTCTAGAAAAAGTTATTTAAAAGTTACAGATTTACAATCTTTAAGCTCGATTCTAGCTTAATGCCTTTCTTTAAACATTTTCAGTAAGATATTTTTAATATTTTAATACCAAGGAATTTAAAAAAAGTATTACAACCGGAAAAATATGTTATTCTAGAAATACATTAATATAATCCGATAATATATGGGTCCTCCGAAATATGTTATCGATTTTAGCAATTTATATATTAAACATAATTCAAAATTTGGATTATTTTGCACGTTTTAACAAACATAAATCAGCCATAGTAACAATTTTGTGAAGAAAATAAAAAGTTGACATTCCCATTTTAACAGGTCATAGCAACAACGAATTTATAGAATCTGTTCTCTTGTAAAGGTGATATTAGAATTCCTGCAGAGATAATCTCCTTTTGTATTTAAGAACAAATTAGTTTCAAGCCAAAATATATTAATAACATTCAATGTTTCAAAAACAAAATCAGTTTTCATTACTAAAATCACTGAATAATTTAGTGGTCATGTAAAACTATTGTTCAAAGCAATTAAAAACCCATTATATAATTTGCAAATGAATATAAATCTGGTACAGCTTTCATCAATTCATTAATAAACACATAACACGAGTTAACATTTAATGGCATTTGTCTAACTAGATGGCCTATGACTTTTGTTAAATGACTTTTTTTTCTTGAAGTTCTCTCAGTGATAAAGTAGAGTTGCATGAACCAAGCTGTGCACTATTTGATGGAGAGACCGTGTTATTACAAAACTGTTCATCTGGCAACGAAAGTGGATATATTTGTAAAAAAGATTTCGGTAGGTATTTTGAATTAAAGGTTTTTACTGCCATATTAAACTTTTAATTATACAATGTACCTTTACATTTTCAGCTCTTTTGTCGCCTTTTATGTCTTCATTTGATAGTTTATTATCTAAATATATATTACTTAATGTGTTTGTTTTTTTTGCATTGCTGCTATTGTTATTTTATCTTGATACAAAGCCCTCGTGTGTTCCAATTAACCATTAAAGGTACATGACTCGTATGCTTCAGAAACAAATAAATGTTTGCTTCTTGATAAAGAGCAAAATTAATATGAATTTTATAATGTTTAAATGATGACTTTAGAGCACATAAGATGCTTAATTATTTCCTGAAAAAGTAGTGTAAAATGTGAAATTATTAATCATAGAAGTAGCAAAATGTAAGCAAAGAAGTATCTGGTCTTCCATACAAAAATTCTATTACTATAACTGTTTTTATTGCTCAAGAAGGCAACAGATGAAAAAGATGGTTCCGTTAATTAGTCAACGCGTATAGTAACTTTTTGGATATTGTACACTAAGATAAAACAGCTTTTGTAAAATAAAAATAGAAGCCTGTCCGAGGCATAATTGGCGTTTAAGTTATATTTATAAATGATTAATGAGAAAAAGAAATCTAACAGCACGAAATCATTGACATATGTCTTTCTGTATATATTCGATATTGGTTATGACGTCATTGCATTTTATTGCAGATTCTACATGTGGTGGAAGGTTTTTTATCTCACGTACATCACAAACAGTCATTCAGAGTCCAGGGTTTCCAGACAGGTATCCAGAAGACATCAAATGCACGTATGTGTTGCAGGTAAATTAATGCTTATCATATTTTTAACTCTTAATTTCTATCGAATAATGCAAACTTTCAAATTTTAAGGAGACACTCTAAATTCAATAACAAGAACACCTAATATAGTATAGTGTATAAAAGTTTTTAAAAAATGAATAAAACAACATCTGACAAGTGCTCTGTGAAACAGTATTCCAAAAAATTATCAACATTTTTATTTATGAATGTTTATTTATAAACGAGACAGTTTTTTTAACTTTAACGCAGACACAAATAAATGAAATTAATCAGTTCGTTATTAGAGGACATTTCATATCAGATAAGGTCTCAACTCTTAATGGTTATTTGTGGGCGATTCCAGATGGGTTCTAGACACTGATTGTCTAAATAAAAATAATGACCTTTGATAGTCCAATGTTTCATTTTTGTTAATTAAAAAAAATCAAACATATTGATTTGATATTTACGTTTTTACCTTTTACTAATTAATATGTCCGATTTATAGATGTTATAGACGGACAAATAAAGAAACAAGCGAAATTTGATAAAAGTAAAATGACAGTAAACTCGTGATATACTTTTTTAATAAATAAAATTAAAAAAAAACTAATTAATGTGATTAATTTACAACGACTGTGGATAAATGAATATATATTCATACTTTTTAAAGATTCTGTTATTAATAAGCGTAAAAAATTTTAAATAGAAAATTGATATTAATAGATATAAATACACAAAAAATAAACTCCTGTTTTGTCCTTTGCAGACAAAGAAAGAAGCCAGAATCAACATTACTTTTGTGAAATTTCAACTGGATAGAAATGATAAAGACTACATTGATGTTCTTTTACAGAATAACGTCACTCTTCAAGGAGAAAGGTAATTTATGAAACAGTTATGTGTCTAAATTAACAAAACAATTTAAGATAAAATTAATAACGGACAGATAAATTTGAAAGGAAATATCCTGTCTGAACAATTTATGTTTCTTGTAGGCGTTCATATATATTATATATGGCACTGTACTTTTTGCCTTCGATTGTACGGAAACGAACTATATACCTTAGATTGCACGGTATTGCATTTTATACAATGTATTGTCAGAAGTACGGAAACGAACTGTACCATATATTGCACGGAAATGCAAATTTTTACTATGGATTGTACTTAATATCTTATATTGTACGGAAACGAACTACACGTATATACCTTTCATTATACGAAACTGAACATTACACAATAGAACGTACGGAACTGAACTGTATACCTTAGATTACAGGGACTGAACTTTATACCTTATTTTGTATAAAACTGGACTTTATACTTTAGATTGTATGAAAACGAAGAACATGTATATACCTTATATTATACGGAACTGAACTTTATACTTTAGAACGTATGGATTTGAAATGTATGTTTTAGATTGCCGGGACTGAACGTTATATCTTATATTGTATAAAACTGAACTTTATACCTTAGATTGTACGGAAAGTAATTGTTATATTTTATATTGTCTGGACTGAATTTAAAATCTTAGATTGTACGGAAATGAACTTTGTTCTAAAGATCGTACTGGACTGAACTTAATATCTTAGATTATTGGGATGTTACTTAGTGATCTTTATACCTTAGATTGTACGGGCTGAAGTTTATACTTTACATTACAGGGAACTGAACTTTATTCTTAAATTGCAGGGAATTGAAATTCACCCATAAGATTTTAGACATACAAATGACATAGACAGAGAGTGAGGGGGTTATTGTTATTTGCCTACCTTATCTTCAAAATACTCATGAGTGTTATCAAAGTCCATACATAATACAACAAAATATAAAAAGTTGACGTGGTCTTAACTTTATATTAAGGTATTCTGGAGAATCATTAAATCGAAGATCGCTGGAAACCTCAGGAAACCTTGCAACTGTGACCTTTAAAACAAACGGGCGTGGTTCTGGAAATGGTTTTAAAGCAGTCATCACTGAGGTATGACACAATGCCACTGGTCACCACATTTTTCAGTACTATTAACATCATGTATATCATTATTGTTCATTTCAGTAGCAAAATCTTTACATATTCCATTAAACATATCTAAAGGTATATAGATATGTTATTCTTGACATATTGCAATTCTTATAGAACCCTTTCGTATAATGTGAACCACTTAGCTCCTAATATACATAAAGCCCGGCGTAACATTTATTTAACTGCGTAATAAATAGCTTTTAAATTTAGTTAGATTTCACATTTTTGATTTATGAACATTTCAACAGATATTTGTATTGTTATTTGTTTTCGCTAGCATGTTTGGTGTATGATTTTTGGAAAAATGCTATAGAGCAAGATTATTAACAAAAAACACAGTCAAGTTATCTTTCGTGTTATGCTCATCATTTTAAAACAATAATATGTGATATATATCATGAAACATTTGTGTTATTGCAGGTCAATTCAGCGGTAGCTCCAACTGTACCTTCTTTGCCATTTCTCGATGCAATCAGGAAAACAAAATGTATGGAAGGGGAGGGAACTACTCCAGTTACTAGTCAACAGTCACGATGGAGTTTGTCTGAATTGTTCAATATTTTTAAATCCATGACATTTTCGAAGATTCTTTAAAAGCTCAATGTGATTGTTTGTCATTCACTTATGACAACCCGTATGATAGATAGAGATCTATTTCGTAAAGTTTAAATTTTTTTATCTAGATAGTTTAATCATTATTGCCTAAATTGCAAAGTCATAACAAAATTAAGTTAGCTGAAAAATTATCAACTTAGACTTAAGTGAACAAATGAACCAAAAGAAAATGAATATAAACAAGAACATTTTTTCAATAAGAAACAATCTAGTTTCACGTCACCTGCTGGGAGAGACACATACTTGGATTTTTACACAGAAGCCGTGATTTAAGAGGTTCTTAAGGTTGGATTAAAACGGAGAAACTGTACGAATATTTCACAACCTGAATGCAAATCATTGAAATGTTTATCCACTGATGAAAGCATGGTGATAAATAAGTACTTTTATAGTGATAATTAACAAGGAAGATTATACATTGCAGAGGTGAATAGGCAACTTTATACTCAACAATATTATACTAAACTCAATCATGACCCTTCATCTTCAATTCATGGCAATATTTGAAAATGCATTGATGAATTAGGTAACGAAAGTGGAAATATTTTGGACATTTTCCCGGAAGACGTGCCCTGGCTTTTATATCCACCCTTAAATTATGTAGATAAGACATTCCCGGCCAACTCTGATAGCAGTATAGTTTGATGAATTATGTCAGTATCTTACAGATAAGAACTTGTAATTGTATAACACTCTGTCAAACCAGGTCTACAATGTGCACCTTTAAAAATCTGTTTTCATTGCAAGCTTTGAATTTCTGTTTGTTTGTTTTTTCAAATGATGTTTTTAGTGTTTAAGATATATCAAATTCAATTTAGTATATACCTGTACAATCATATTTGTTAACATTTAATGCATGCATCTCAAGAACAATTACGTCCTAACAAAAAAACTATCGCATTCAGAGTGTGATCCTGATTGATATTGCTAGCATTATGCTATTTGTAGGTTATGGTTGAATATATAGTTTTAATTCAACAAGGTATATATTTATATGTGTTGATTCCATATCTTGATCTTGTACTTGAATTTGGCTCTTATCGAAACGAGTTGCTATTGGCGCTACCGCTCCTCGTTGGATATTTTCCTGGAAATGTCCACTCGAGTAAATATACATCTTCCAAATCAAGATAATATGAAAATCCTGCGCCAAACATACAAAATACTGATCAATGTCATAGGTTATACATGTAGACATTTTAGAAGCTTTATATTTTTATTGTTTTGTAGAACATTTACTTTTTAGGTTTCTGTACACCTAACAAGCACACGATGAGTGCAAATAAAAGACACATTAAATATCTTTTTGTAACGAGCGGAGGTCTAGTTTACTGCTACAAATCATTTTTTATTTATAGTAAGTCACCTGTCAATTTTACATGTTACATTTTGAACACAATTCGAACATTTGTACGTTTGTTTCGATACCAAGATTTCGAACTAGCTTAATTAATCGATATTGACACTATTATACTTATGAATATGCAAAGCCTTTTACGTCTTTAAAACAAAATATGACGCCAGTACTGGTTAGCTCCAGGCAGCGGACTCGGAAGTGATTAATGTAAGTTGCAAGAACTTGTTTGTCTATCGAGCTCAAATAAATATGTTTTATTAAAACAAAATATCAAACAATAACAAATAGCTATTTTTTTGCAACAGCACCTCATCTAGACACTTCAGACTATTTTAACGACCTGGACATTATTTAAGTTTTATCAAACTAAGCAGTGCATCATATACAGTACAGAAAACTTCGGTGCATTTAAATAGAAATATACTTTCGTATCGTGTTGTCTATAATATGTTGTTGTAAAGTTAATATCCTTTATTATAACTATTTAATGTTTTACAATTCTGAATAGTTTCAGTATAAATTATGAAACCAGTTGAAACTTTTTTAAAACTTCCATCATTTTAACGAATTCACTTTAAGGTTAGTTTAAAACACAGATTTAAAGTAAAGTCACGACAGCGTTAGCTGTACATTTGTAAGGGTAATAACTCTTTGAAACAATTATAAAGTTAGAAAATATTATTTATGATTTAGATTCTTTGATATTGTCAATTGTGCAAAAGTAATTTATTCTGTACTGCAGTGATATTAAAATGTATTCAGTAAGAATTATTATAGTTAGAATTTTCCTGGGCGGGAATGCGATTGTGATTACGCTGTCCCGTAAAATATGGCTATGAGTGATATTTGGTTTCAACTCTTCAGTAGTGTTTTTTCTGCGGATCGTCCCCCTTAGTTTCTTAAATTATTGTATTGACACTTGTTGTTTACCTGCATGTTTGTACCGTCAATGGTAAGTATCCCCTTCTCCTAGTTTTTTTACACTGTGTCCCTCCCATACTCTGGACCCTTCACCTACACCCTTAACCCTGTGTTAACCTTAACCCTGTGTTAACCTATAGATAAGTTACCTTCAGTAATGTTTTATTTTTGTTTTTTCTTCCTTTTATCTTGCCGTTGTTGTTGGTTTTGCATGTCTGTTGTTGTGTTTTGTCACTGCTTGTCTCCTTGCCGAGGGTCCTGCGTTGCTGGTTTGTGATGCATAAGGGATGCATGTATTAAATGTTTGCCCTTTCTTGTTGATCTTTCGTTTTATATTTCACCCTTTTATATTCAAATTAGAAACGTCAACTTGAACAATGTGATCAGCGACTTTTCGTTTTTTAATATAACAATAAAGGATGTATAATAATACACTAAGTGGGTGGATGTTTTTGGCCAGTATAATTAGCGACACACAAAGAAACCATAATTACATGGAAAATCATCCGACTCAGCTTTTTTGAGCTCAAAGGTCGAGCTCAAAGGTCCACATTTGTATCAGATAACCGGTATTATAATGTCAAAAGCTATGACAAAATTCAATTTCTTAGGTAGATCAGCTGGGGCACATATACACAAAGGTAAGCAAACGATGATTGAGAAATTGTCTCTGAAATAAATTAAAAATCGTATTTCTATGATATTCTTAGCCTGATTTAGCCTGAGAGAAAAGCGGGTCATTTACACGTCGGTATGTCAGTAACCGGATTTGGAATCGTTATTGCACATTATAGATACGTTCTAAAATCTGGTTTCTCGTGACGATCCTTTGTTATGAAATCCATTTAAATTAGCAGATTTAAACTGTATTGAAAATTAAATTTCTTGAAATTTATACATGTATATGACATACGGCAATGCATTGCTGACAAATAAATCCGCCTTACTAAAAATGCATATGCCGTTAATAGTAATGTAATCTCAATAAAAAAATTATGTTGGTTATAATCCGTTCAAGGCGTTTTTACTGTTTTGTTATTAGTTGTATTGTTGCACATACAAACGTATAAATATTTCAATCTTTAGAAAGGAAATGTTTAATTAAAGGTTAACGAGCATGTTAGAGAGATATCACCTAATAAAGTGGTGCTATATGTGAAATTATTTTCAAAAGAAACGGGACGTAAACAAAATTCGTAAAATATAAAACATGACTTAAGCGCAGTTCTAATTGCCAAAAAGCAACAGGATCAAAAGCTGGTTCATGTTATTTACAAATGTGCAACTTTTGGAAACTATAACTGGACTTTAAAATTAAACAAAAAGCACCCCCCCCCAAAAAAAAAAAAAAAAAAAAAAAAAAAAATAAAAAAATGTCTATTTGAGCAAAGGGAAGTAATTAATATATTTTTTTGTAATATTGTCATGAATCGATTAACCCCTATGGTTATTACTAACAAAATCGGATAATGTAACATAACTGTCATCTTTGTTATAATGATTATCATAAAGAACATAATATACTAAATGTTTTCACACCAAAATCTATACAGAAATAAGTTAATATATGAATCCAACAATATCAAATCTGTAAAATGTACTTGAGCTTAAAGAGCAAGTTACTGTATAAAAAAGACGCTGGAATATTTCCCTTTGCTATTTAAACAGCGTTTGCGTTGGGAATGAAAGATTTCTTAATCTATTAATTAAACTCATATTCATAAGCTAAAGTTGGTCATCAGTAATACATGTAATATAAAGGAATTGTTGACTATGCTCCTTCAAGCCCGCATACCTCAAGCTGAGCAATTTAATTATTTTAAAAACAATCAACTTAAATTTGAGAAACATGTACTTGATTTTAAGGAATGTAAGTATTCAAAAGTCAAGTAATTATTTACATGATATATCTAAAATATGTTTGATTTCGTAGTATTCATAACAATATTTCTACTGCGAGACCATCTCACTAAAAGATTTTGCATATTTTGTCCTTTGTATATGGATTGAATGTGTCGCTTGCAATGAGTAAATTACAAATTCTTTGCTATTTCATATACACGATCTTAATTGTACGAAACATTACTTTTTAAATTTAAACTTGATTTGCCATGAGACATAGTTTTGTTATAGAAGGAAAACGTTGGCTTTATAATTATGCTGAGATAAAAGACGAAAATCATATTGGCTTCACCCCTTAACATATATCAGCATCCTTAACTAAGATTTCATAAATGTTAAAATTAACGTACTTTCGACTCAGAATAAACACATAATTATGTTTGTGGTGAAAAATGTAACATTTCTGTCATAACTGTCCGACACATGAATTAAAGGAAACTTGACTTTCAAACTTTCAGAGGATTTCAATATGAAACTTAAGATTGGGCACCAACACTGAACAGTACAGTCAAACTGCGCGAATGTTCAGGCCGGCCTGGCTTAATACTTGTGGCAAGGATAAATCAAATAATGTTCGGTTTTAGAAAATTGAATATTTCAAACGTGTTACTTATATAACAATAAAGAAATGACACATTTATATAACTATGCAGATTTATTATTTAGTTACCTATTTAGGCATGCACATATATCTAAAACAATCGGATAACAATCAGTGGACGTAATATAATATGTTTAACATGTCGTCAGAAAAAATCAAAATTCATTTCTTTTCTAACTTCTTAATATTCCTTGACAATGCAAGGGTTTTAATTTTGTTCAAATTTTAAAATTGAATTCCTTGACACTTTGTACGTAGACACATGAAAAGAAGGAAACTGTATATTGTTAATGTTATATAACAAATGTTTGTTTATAACGTCATGATATTGGACATGCTTGCTAAAATCACACAAGCGGAAGATTGGACCTCTTTCTTCGTTTTCCAGGACTGTTTGGTCCATTTAGATAATAGTACTGGTCAGCTATGGCTGAAGCAAGCTCTGTCGCACAACGACCACCAAGGTTTAGGTAACAAGACCTCTTCCTGAAATAAAATTATAAACACAATATACATACATATAAGAAATATATATTGTTTAATGTCAACAACTACGTGGAGTCGGTTCAAATCATATAAAAGAAAGAACTGATGCACCTTTAGCTTTGATGATGACAGTGATAATCAGTATGGCAACTAAAAGGTCAAGTACAAGCACGTCCAGTTCTTTATGTTTAAAGATATCCTGTTAAATATGTTTTTCATCGCATTTGGTTTCTGTAATATCATTTTCGTTCAGAAATAAATGGATTTCTAGTTTATGTTTGAGGCTTACCCATTTATTTATAAACAACATTATTACAAGACGAAGGACGCTACCTTTTGCTGATATAAATCATTTGCACAAATTAAATCATTAAAATCCAATATGCCTCTTTTCAACGCCTGTTAACGTATGTTTCAAAGTAACTCATTTGATTGTTGAGATTGAAATCAAATAAATCAGAAAATGAAACAGATAAACTAACAGATTACCACTTCTATAAATATTTGATAGATTACTTTTCATATATTAATCAATACATGAAATAAAGAAATAAGCATACAACAAATAAAAGATGCAGCTAATAAATCAAAATTGATGTGTATAGACTAATTAATTGTTTGTCTCAACAATATCAAGAGTAGATCTACAAGAGAAGACAAATTAGTTGATGATAACGAACAAAAAGGTGCGAGTAAATCATCTATTGCATCCTGATAGTATCACCCTATGATAAAAAATGTTATACATGTCTAGCGTCGGGCATCATGAATGTCGTTAAAACGTTCCAACCGTCATTTTTGAAAGCTATACATTCATTCATCATTATACCTTTAACGATACAGCTGTTTGTTATTATAAAGATTGAAGTATATGTGTATATATGAAATTAAATATGTGTTGTTACATTTCTTGCATAAATAGTTTATTTTTTGGACTGCATAAAACACTATACACCAATAAACACGAATGAAAATATATTATAGTATACATGTTTATATAGAAATGAATATGTGTTTTTACATTTCTTGTATAATGTATATATAGTTAATTTTTGGACTGCATAAAACACTATACACCAATAAACACGGATAAAAAAGTAACTCATAAATAACAGTGTGGTTAATTCGGGACCCCCCGAGAGAAGTGGTAACTATAAAAATGTGAAATTTGCAGCCTTTGTTTAATTTGGTTTCTTCATTAGATGTAATTATAGCACATCGTCCAAAGATCGCACCCTCTAGAACAGACGTTAGCAATATAAAAACAGTTTGATATATCTGTTTTGTCATCACAAAGATCTACATTATAAGTAAAATTTTCTGAAGTTTTAGATTTTCTTCATATTTTGTATAACAACAATTCAATAATTAACGATCTAGATATAGCCACACACGCTTGGTGGCAGATACACTAAGAATCAAATTAAGAATATTTCTTGTTGGGACTACGCTTGGTGAAACTTTCTTACTTTAATGCGAAAAATATTCCTTAAAAGACAAATAAATTCGTATGTGAGAAGTTAGCAGTGAACAGTGAGCTAAGCAAAAAGGCATTTCAATTTATGTAGGGAAGTCAATGATCTGCTGTAATGCTAAGCTGTTTTGGGCATCTAGCAGGGCATTCCTAAATAAAGTGTAAAAATGCTCTGCTGCAATACTCAGCCGTCTTGGCAATCTAGCAGAGCATTCCTAACTTTAGTGAAAAAATGCTCTGCTGGAACGCTAAGCTGGCTAGGCAATCTAGCAGTGCATTTCTAAATATAGTGTTAAAATGCTCTGCTGGAATGCTCAGCTGGCTAGCAAAGCTGGCTAAGCAATCTAGCAGGGCATTACTAAATATAGTGTAAAAATGCCCTGCTGGAATGCTAAGCTGTCTAGGCACTATAGCAGGGCATTACTAAATATAGTGTAAAAATGCTCTGGTGGAATGCTAAGCTGGCTAGGCAACCTAGTCGAACATTCTGAAAAATAGTGTGAAAATGCTGTGTTGGATAAGCAATCTTGCGGTGCATTCTGAATTATAGTATAAATAAGCTCTGCTGGAATGCTCAGTAAAATTTTTGACTTCTAAGGACCTTTAAGAGACTATTTCATTGTCCTGCGACTTTTTGATGGACACTCGCAGACTTTCAGGAATTTTGGTGCCAACGCATTTCGACTTCTAGGGTTCATTTAGAGTCCATTTTGTTGGTCTGCGACTGATTCTCGGACACTCGCAGACTTTCAGGAATGGTTGGTGCCAATGAAAATGATCATATTTTTGACTTCTAGGGGCCTTTAAGAATGCATTTCATTGGCCTGCAGCGTATAGTTGGACACTCGCAGACTTTCAGGAAAGTTTGGTGCCAATGATGGAGATGATGGCAATTTTTACTTCTAGGGTCCCCCTAGAGTCCATTTTTTATGGCCTGCGACTGATTCTGAGACATTCGCAGACTTTCAGGAATATGTGGTGCCAATTGAGATAATGACATTTTTGACTTCTAGCGACCCACAAGAGTTCATTTCGCTGGTCTGTGACTGATTTTGGGACACTTGCAGACTTTCAGGAATTTTGACTTCTAGAAAACCGCCAGAGTACATTTCTTTGGTCTGCGACTGATTCTTTGAGACTCGCAGACTTTCAGGATGTTTAGTGCCATTGCAGATCATGACATTTTCTTTACTTTTAAGGACCCCTTAGTCATAAGCAAGGCATTTTACTCTAAAATGTCATTATCTGTGTTAGCACCAAAAATTCCTGAAAGTCTGCAGGTGCCCAATAATCAGTCGCAGACCAACGAAATAGATCTTGGATGGTCAAAAATGTCAAAATTGTAATTATCTCTATTGGCACCAAACATTCCTGAAAGTCTGTGACAAATTAATGCCGAACAAATTGTACAGCACAACATCGCTTACACTTTGAGTTGTATATTGTGGGTGATATGGATTTTATTTCATGGATAAAACGCAGTATTTAATTAGTTAGGGTAAATTAATACTGAAATTTCACTGTCTTCATACCCATAAAACTTCTTCACATTTGCACAAAGTTCACTTCGCTATTGGTAATGAAATTTTCTATTTATTGCATTTTAAGTTCTTTGAACGTCACTTTTATTTTTTCATATATTACCCCGATGTCTCATGACTAAAATACTAATCTGAAAGTATCATTAAGAATGTTTGTCATGTTTATATAAATGTTCCTATAAGTTTCTAAAATGCAAGTTTATCTGTTTAATCAGGTATTCCAGGCACGAACTTGCATAAATGCGTCTGCAAATCTTACTTTTAACGTGTTTCAAAGTTTAACATATTTCTTAAATCGTTATTTGACTTCATAAAAAATATAGTAATTACATTACAAAAAATGTTTTTGCCCCGAATTTACTTTTAATCATATTGAAATAAGTGGCGGATATTTATCTCAGTTCTTAACATTTCACAGCATGGATTTATTGCCAAACCCAATTAGAAATATAAAAAGCAATTTCAACTCAAAATGTTTGCGTAACGCATTCCGGAATCAAACGCTACGTACCACCCATGGGTCGTATAAAATATAAAGCAATTAGCACTTCTTTCGTATGAGGTTTCAGTTATTCAACCGTTTTAGGTTTTATTTCAAACATTCTGTCAATATCAATATTCTCTTATCACTTGTCTCATAGCGGTTCTATTCTATTTTTAACTGACAATTTTTATAATGATTGTTGCTTAAACTTCTTTAATCGTTTAGGTTTTTATTGTTCCTCTTTTATATCTGCAATATTTTGTCTGTCCCATATTTTAAATATATTAAGCGACAAGTATCCAATAATTTTTTAGATATAAAGATCGTTGTTTAAAGATTGATGATCGTTATTTTGTATAATTTCTAACAAAATACAATCGAAGAATAATTAAAACAATAACGTTTTTAAAATTGATTGCCAATTACTTGAATAGCCGTTCTTTTGAAGAAGGAGAAATGGTTGTTCTTAATGAGAGTAGAGTAATCATTCTCCTTGAAATTGTCATTGATTAGGAAATATGTTCACTACAGTCATTACAAAAATATAATTAAAAAGGTAATGACATGACCATGTCAAATCTAAAAAAAAAAAACGTTTAAAGAATAAAATTCATATATCATTCTGAATTACACCTGCCGTCAGCCAGCTGTCCAGCGGGCGAATGCACTGGCCGAAGTGGAATTCAGTATTCAAGCTGGTTAAAAGAATACAGTGTTGTTTGTACCAAATCCCGGTAACTGACTTGAACTGAATACCATAACCATCTCGAATACACTTTAAATACGCTGTGCAAAATATCAATTCAAATTGGATTTGTTCAAATGTTCTTTTTCACTATTAAACGTAATTTTATTCAAAATTTTGATTTCTTCTTCTATCAATGTAATAATAAAGTCTTGCAACAACTTATATGATTTTTATAATTATTAAACAACACAGACTTGCCTTTTAAACGTAGCCTGATGTTCTGCATCTTCTAAAATTCCATTTAAAACAGCTAAATTTTCTCTCTTGCGATTAACGTCATCTAAAATTCTGAAATTATAAATAAAAAATGTTCTAGATTTTTATATTACACAAATCAAATACTTAAATACAATTAAAACACTTAATAAAAAGTTCTGACATTCCGTCGTCTGCAAACTGATACTAGTTTTTATATTGTCTGTGGAGTAATTGCATTAGAACAACTATGTAAAATATATGTTTTTTTCACAAACAAATAATGTATGGTTCTTGCTTTTTTATTCATTTTTTTATTTTTATATCATATTATTATTATCATTATTATTATTAATATTATTTTATATATATAATGTTTGGTCGTTTTGTTTTCATCTTGATTTCTGAGCTATTTGACATCCTTTTCATGTTATTTGCCCGTTATATAAATTTATTGTCTTTTCATTATTCTTTTCCACGACAGATTATCTGTTAACCTTGTCATTACTTTATATCGTAAACATGATAAATTTTGAAACTAAAATAGTGTTTGGTTTATTTACGAGTAAGCATACAATGAATTAAAGTGGTACTGCATTCAATTAAAGCTTGCTTTTTAAAGAACGGTTTGCTACTTTAGTGATGATATTTTAATACATTTGTTAAGTTATCATGCTCCCTTTTGGGTTGTCTATAAGGTTTGAGGCATTATAATTGGAGCCACCATTTACGTGATCGTAAGAGGCGACTAAATGGTTTTCGAATTATTGGAGACTATGCATTTCATAGCTCCAGAAGGTGATATGGATTTTACACCTGGTATTGCTGTAAGTTTGTAACACCCGAGGTTAGTATACATCATCTGTTTCCTGCTATAGTTGCATGTATGAGTATTAAATATACGGCCATCTTATTCTTGGCAATAAAATCACGGTGCATATCCATATCGGTACCCTCTTTGCGAAATCTGCTGAAACGGTACCCTCTCTGAACATGCACAGGTCACTTCTCTGCTAAAAACAAACCAGCGATGGATACCAATCCAGTAAAATTTCATTGTAATAAGGAAAGGAGGTATGTCACGTAGAAAAGATGTATACTACGGGACACTAGGATGTTTTATTTATGTACTGATTTGTCATGTGCCCGATTTTCATTTACTGCAACTTCACAATAAGCTACAAAAAATCGACATGTCTTGCTTCGCCCATCACCTCGATATATTTTTCGGGCTGAAATGAACCTGTGGCTTGATTATATATGCATCATACATATTTAATATGTTCATATACATATCATCTTCGGACAAATGGCAGTATATTGTCAAAAATAAATCTAAAATTCATAAAAACACCCTACTTTCGGTTTTGCAGCGGCACGGGCTACCTCTCTTCATTTGAATTTTTATATCACAGGTACCCTCTCATTTTTTAACACATAGGTACCCTCAAAGCACGACATATGCTTTTATTTGCGTTAATCGTTAAGTATGTAATATTTACATAAAAGTAAAAAGTATTACATACACACTTAACGATTAACGCAAATAAAAGCATATGTCGTGCTTTCAGGGTACCTATGTGTTCAATAATGAGAGGGTACCTGTGATATAAAAATTCAAATGAAGAGAGGTAGCCCGTGCCGCTGCAAAACCGAAAGTAGGGTGTTTTTATAAATTTTACATTTATTCTTGACAATATACTGCCATTTGTCCGAAGATGATATGTATATGAACATATTAAATATGTATGATGCATATATAATCAAGCCACAGGTTCATTTCAGCCGAAAAAATATGTCGAGGTGATGGGCGAAGCAAGACATGTCGATTTTTTGTAGCTTATTGTGAAGTTGCAGTACATGAAAATCCGGCACATGACAAATCAGTACATAAATAAAACATCCTAGTGTTCCGTGGTATACATCTTTTCTACGTGACATACCTCCTTTCCTTATTACAATGAAATTTTACTGGATTAGTATCCATCGCTGGTTTGTTTTTAGCAGAGAATGACCTGTGCATGTTCAGAGAGGGTACCGTTTCAGCAGATTTCGCAAAGAGGGTACCGATATGGATATGCACCGTGAAAATGCTAATATATCAGTTTAATAATAATAATAATAAAAATGATAATAATAATAATAAACTGGATATATCATATGGTGGGAAGTACCTAAAGTTTATTAATGATTCTGCATTAATCATAAAATCACCAAACTTTGTTAATAAAGGTTTACCACTTCCGAGATGCGTGTGTTTGTTAAATTTTTTTTTTCAAATGTAAAATTTCTTTAATCATACTTATTTTATAAAAATAGTTAATTTCATATACCTATTGTTCTGAAAAGTAAAGCTACCATTACTTATAATTTTACATCCAAAGATTTCTATTGCATCTGATAAAAGGACAAGACTCTGATTATAAAGAAGATGTTATCATATTTCCTCTTTCTTGTAATCAGAGCCACATTATTTAGATTCTGAGCATATCCGTTCTGGCAAGCATGAATTTATTTCCCTAGAATTAGAATTACTGATAGTGTTAAAAGGCAGCATAGTTTTGTTATGTGGCATTCTAACATAACATAAAGGAAATTATTGACAATGATATAATGCGAATTGATATGTAAGACTCCTGAGACCATTTCAGAAAGAAGCTTAGAAGTTCAAGAATTGTGTTTCTACATTGTACTTTTTAATTGACAAAATAACAAACATTGTAACTCAAAGTTCTTGAGTTGTACCACATTTACTAAAATAGGTCAAACACGGAAGATAAACAATTAACGCTTCTTGTAAAAATTCTGAAAGACATGCATATTATCATGTACATGTATGTGCATTGAACTGTTCTGTGCGACTACGAACCTAAAAATAAATTAAATAACCTTTATCAAGCAATAAAAACAACCACAATGATGATGATGATGAGGATGGTGGTGGTGGTGATAAAAATGCACCGAATTACTAACTTAAAACTGTCTGTCAAAGAAAATTTGACGGACAATGGTAAAGACAAACTTAAATTACTTAATTGAATGTATTTATGAAAACTCTAATGAGCTAAAACTCCAATGAGCTAAAATATATATTTTATTTTGTCTACACTAAAGTGACATTATGCACATCCAAGAATATATAGTGAGTGAGAAGGTGAAAGTGAAAATAATTCCTTTCAATTTCATGATTTACTCAGCATGCGTGATAAATAACACAAGGGGGCAAAGAAAATTTTCGTAAATATCCATCGGAAATTACCTGTAACGTTCAGTTTATAAAATAGTGGGTTTAGGCAGATAAATGTTTTATTCTAAACATTTACAAATATTGACTCTTGGTCAATCATCATTATAATAGCCAATCTTTTGAAATCTTTAGTTAATTCAGCTAAACTTCACAATGCAAACATGAGCATTATGTCTACTTCAAAGATAACGTACTATCAGATATAATCACCAGAAAATAATCTGATAGTGCCCTAGTTTCATATCTATTTTACATGATTGTGAATTGCAGCTGAGTGATTTCAAACAACAAATAGTTACTTTTTATGTTAGTAGGCATCCATAATGAAGCACATACTTTCGTTTGCTTTGATATGGAGACTCAATGTCATCGGGTCGAATTCCTTCAGGGACTTTTCATACTTTCATCATGTAGCTAATGCAATGTCTTTGCTTCTGCTCAGGTACTAACTAGAATAATGATGGGCCTGGCACTCGGACCTTTTAAACCAGGGCTAGTGGGAGAGCCATAGTACAGTGCTTGTGTGACATAGAATCCGGCCAGAAAACATTGTTGACTGACATTGTAATTACTAAATTGTTTGCTTGTGCAAGATAGTTTAAACAATATTATGATTTTAGCCTTTACTCTTGATTGTCTGAATCGTATACAAATGTTTTAATTTGTGTCTTTTTTATAATTCTGGTCATAATTTAAATTGTTAGTGATGTAAGTGTTGGTTTGAATTTATTATACTGTAAACCTATCTTTGGATATATGTTTTCTTTAATTGAAAGGTCATGTGATTTTGCACTTTTATTAATTTCCTTTTTATTTGTTTATTTTTTATATAATAAGCTTACCAAAAGCAACACAGATCAAAGCACTGTACTGTGTTGATCACTTATATTTTTAATTTTTTAAATTTGTTGTTTACTTTGAATTTATATAATTATCCAGATATAATAATGAAAATGTTGAAATGATTAGTTTGTCATTTGAAATGACAATATTCATAAAGTCAAGGAAGCTATATTCCCTTATATGTACTTTCCTTATCATCTACTTTGAAATGCTACCAGTATGAAATATTTGATGTTTTAAAGCAAGACAGTTCTACTAAAAGCGCGCTTCCAGTACGTAGAAAAAAACATTAAATTGTCAAATGTAACTTTATTATCCATTAAAACGTCTTTCAAACGGTTTCTTTGTCATTGTCAATAAAATTATCGTTTTATGAATCTCACAGAGTTAAAACTTTAAATTTCCCTTTCTGTCAAAAAAACTCTTGAACAGAATACCAATAAGTGCGACACACGTCGGACGAATAACAAAGACCTTCTGTGAAATGATGCTTTATTACTAATTTTTGCCTTCATTATACGTCTGATTCGTGTATTTATGAAAAACCGCATACAAAGTGTGACGTATCGAAAATGTCCAATGTAGAAGTAATCTTTTATGACAAATTTATTGTAATTGGTATGAAAAATGCTTAGACAGAGCAAAAGAAAGAAGAGACCTTAATACTGTCTTTCGGGAGACGAGGGCGCCAATCACTATGCCAGGATCCTACCAAATGTGACAACTTTTAATATTAAAATGGCATCATACATTTTTTAATTTAAATATATTGTATATATTTACAAACAATTTATTACCCTATTGTATTCATCCTTGACTAACAATTGCTGGTATCTTTTTGTATGGATATTAACATTTGAATAAGTGTTAATCGGCATTATAAATCTATAAGAAAGAGTTCGGTGGCATACACTGATAAATAAGTGTGTTTCTTTCTTCAGTTTTTTAATATTTACAAAGCGTACACGTTTCAAAAAGATATTTACATTTAAATGACAAATGAAAATAACATTTCAACAAAGAAGTCAAATTTAAAACTGTTTATTTTGTAGGGACAAAACAAAACATCACGGACCTTACATGGAAAAACAAAATGAACAGTAAAATCTACGAGTGTTTCCTGGAAGACATTATTTAAATTTTAATACCTTGAGACAAATCTGATATTTGCGTCATAAAAAACAATACCGGTAATACCAGTCTGTCTATATACTTATCTAAGATAAGTTCTATTATGGAATATGTAATTTAGAATACAAAAACAGTTGTCGTGATCCCTACATTCCATTAAAGGCCCACAATGTCTCAGAAATTCATTTTAATAACATTCCTTAAAAATATCAAACATGTGTTGAATAATGTTTTAATAATGGATTTAGAGCCTGTTACATGTTTAAAATACGACGAAAGTAGCACTGAGTTCGCAGTAATGTCTTGTCAAGGTAGCAAAATGTAAACAAATTAGTAGTGTGACATCTACACAAAATACAAATTATTCATTTTAATCATTGCAATTACCAGTAAAGCAACAGAACTAAAGATAATTCATCTACATGGCACATAAGTACTTTTTGGAAACTGTATCGCGTTACTAAAAATAAAAATGTTTATTTCATTTTTAGGCATAATTTGCCTTTAATGTTTATGTAGAAATCGAACCAGTAACTTGTTAAAAATGAACATAAAAATATAATGAAATAAAAAGAACAATATGACAAAATGCAAAAACGGAAAAATTAACAAAATTTTCATATTAAAGATAAGAGGATCATCTGTTATATCATACAATAAATGTTATTCCAAAATAATTGCTTGCAAAAACATATCCTAATGCAAATCCCCGTCTAGATGATTTAAATAAAAAAAAAATGTTTTTGTAATTTTGTCGAGTCATTTAATTTTAAAATATGGGTCAAAATAAGTGTCTATATGAATGAATATTATTCACGATACAAAGGTACATGTACATAAAGTAAATAATACAATGATGCATTTCAGACTGGTTATTGATTCTAACTTGTTTGTTTGATTGATTTTTACGCACATATTTGATTATATCTCATATTTGGTAACATCTCGAAGGTCGGTCCAGCAAACCAGTATTCCTGGATAACTAACCAGAAATTACAAATTTCTCGCAATTGAATGTCTTTTAATCCGACATGATTTCTGAATCAGCGACAACCGGCGGATGACCACTAGACTCAAAGTCCAAAAGCAGTTGTCACGGAACATTTCCGACACACCCGATGGTGGAGCAATCGAAACCCTGAACTACAAAATCGATGCTCTCCAATTTGAGCGAAGAGGGCGGAGGAATTGTAGGTTTTAAGCCGTTAAATATTTATTTTCTAAACCTTCTGCATCGCATTATATATTTAAGTTTATTGTTGGTACAGTTAGATTACACCCAGGCGACAGTTTTGTATTGTAAACCGTTATCATTGAGCATAATGTTAAGAGAGGACATACTTTAATCGTAGTAAAGGACGCATGTAATCCTATTTAAATTCCCCATAAATTTCAGTGAAACATTCTTATTTCTTACACCTTTAATGTCATTATTCCTTTTTAAATGAATACACATTTGTCAGAACATATTATTATAATTTTATGGTACTAATGTGTTTTGTATGATGATATTTTGCAAATGATGTAGATAAGAGTACGTAGTTAAACATATTCAACAAAATCTATGTTGTATTATATTGTTGGATTAACTCTCCGGCTCGTTAGTTAAAATCGAACTGGAATGAATATAATTTAGCTTCGATTTACGCATGTTACTGTACATCGTTATGTCCATATATCGTTTTAATTAAAATATAAATGACATAAATCATAAAATATGTTTACTTACTTGGTATATTTGTCTATAAGCTGAGGGTCAGTGATTTGCTGAGAACGTTTGCCTGGACTGTGGCCACTGTTTAACCAATTAGAAGCGCTCAATATACTATCCAATGCCGAGAGTTTACAATGATGACTGTTCAAGCCAAACTGACAAGTTCGTTTTCTGAAATTGATATACATTTTAAAATGACAATAACAACATTCAATGACATTATTTGATAATGTTTTAAATTTATCATTGTAATTTGCGATTTCAACCAGTAATCTAAATTTCGTTGTTAAATATAAATTAATCAACTCAATCGACGGTGCCCAGACTATTTTACCCGGTGAAATTGGGTACTTAGAAAATTAATATAACTTATCAATAAGTAAATTTTTAATGAAAGTAAATCGCTCCTTATACATATATACAAATGAAAATTTCATTTCAAACACTAAATATTTAATTTAGTCCCTTGCTGTTTGCAGTGTATATTATTTTTGCAGCAAGTCAAAACTCACTGATAATTAGCAAGATAATTATCTAAACTGGAAATTGTGTCTCTCAGGTCTGATAATCCTTTGCCATTTTTGGTGTCCATCCCTTGTATATATCTGAAAATAATTCATCAACAGAAATAACTCAAAGTTTAAATTATAATGAAATTCATACTTTAAATACAGGCAACGCTAGATATATTAATAAACATGTCAAACTTGTCAATCTTTCAATTTTGGCAAATGTGTTTATGAACGGACAGCACAGTTGTATGGTACATATACACTTCATACAAAATGCTTATTGCAAAGACAGTATTGTTACTTATCGTTGTGTTTGCTGATTTTATTCTTTTCAAGACATTTTATGATAAAATGTTTATTGTGTTTATAATGGGATGATATGTTGTATTTATTTTCTTCTGTGTGAAAAGTAATACATCAACGTTCGAATAGAATCCGCACGTTTTTATCACACATATGAATCCGCACGTTTTTATTACACATATTCCTCTGAACATAAAATTGTACAAATCTTTAAAAGTATGATGTATTTGCGTGACAGCGTGTCAGAATGATAAATTATATCCCTGTAAGTATTTAAAATAGTGCGAGAAGCTAATTATGGTGTCAACAAAAACACTCATAAAATAGATTGAACAGTAAGACACTTAAAATGTTTTGCGTAACAACACTTATGCTGCACGGGGTAATTTCATCATATGAATGACATGATAATGTAATGCGATAAATCGTTATCAACAAAAGGAGCATGAAGCCAAACATCTGTTGACAAGTTACGCGATTTCTGTGTAAAATCTGAGTAATTACATAATGTAACACTTAAAATCAAAATGCTTGCACTTACAAATAGAACTACTCTTTTCTCTGTCAGTTTTTCAGTTATAAAGGAGGAGATAAGTAGGTCTATGGTCCTACCCATGTCCTCTTGCATATTTGTTGTGGTTGTAAGACACTCTGATACTTAAAACAACTAATACAGACAAACACATATAATGGGTATATGTCACCGGCCATTCGTAAGATAGCTTGGTAATTTTCTCACATGAAACAATTCACAGTTGTGCCGGCAAGTGCCTGAATACACTTCCCTCAATGTAAAGTGAACAGCCCCCATATGATATCTACAATCAGTGTCTTACATAAAAACCATAAACGATGTAAAAGTATCAAAATGCGCTTACATTTTCAAATTATTGTCAATGTTTTAAAGGAAAATGTAAGAACAAATTACTGGATATTTGGATCTATGTCATCTGTGCTAGGTACATCTGCTGTAATTCGTCGTGAAAACATGTATATAATGTAAAATGCCAACGTGGTCCCCGCATACCGCCTGTAGAGCATGTTTCCTGCAAATAGATATTACATATTGTGATAATATATAATAAATATACATATAATACAGACCAGCTTGTTTCTTATTGTATTAGAATTGTATTTTATGTTGAAAAAGGACACCCACTGTTACAACATGAATTTATATACATGTATATAAATAAGTACATTCCCATTTTGTTAGTAGTTACATATTAGAAAATTATTACATGATTACCAATTTACTCGTGTTATGATTACAGATCCGACCATCGTCATTTCTATCAAAAGCGGGTTATTGTGCTTTTATTTGAACATGTACACACTTTATATGAAAGGATCGGAAAATATCTTTTACGATTTTTGTCTGTTAATTTAATACTGGTTTACGTAAAAGAAAAACGAAATGTTGACAACTTTAAAAGTGTACCAGATAAAGAATTTTATTCGGGCAAATAATTATTGAATAATTCTTTTCCCAGATATTCGTGAAATAAGCCGTGATGAAACCGCGTTCCCTTTTGTTGGCCCAAACGGGTGGTGCTCTGTATAAACAAATGTATTAAGATGGTTGCTACTCTCCGTAAGCAATACTCTCCTTTATAAACATGTTCTCTCTTATTTTAGCTAAAAACGTCTTGTTTTATACTCCTGTGACATTATAACATTGACAAATGAAAATCATAATACATGTACGTTAAAACCTGCGACAGAACAACATTGTTTAATACTCAATGTTATAGCATAAATACAAAGCTTAAACAGCTGTGTTTTAATTATATTGCTATTTCCACTCTTGTTTTTGTTTTATTGAAGATGTTCAAATTGAGCCAACCATCCTAAAATTAAAGTCTTTGTGATAATTTTGTTGCTTATTGCCTATAAATATTCTTATTAGCAAGTATGTTTTCAAAATAAAACTATGTTGACGTTAAAACATAATTATTTGTTTTCCAACATTAAGCTGCACAATAAAAGAGGATATTTCCCATATTATCTTCTATAATGGCAATGTCTGAAAGTTTCTTTACGTCTGGCATTTGGAGAATAAATTTTAATTATGTGCGTCTAGCCCAGTTACAAACGTAAGTACTTGACCTTATGATAAATGTTTTTATCGCAAAAATGTAATAGTTGTAACAAATTATCCTCCAGGATAGTGCATCAATATTGTTCTTAAAGCAGCACGCCTCCAGATTCATGTTAATTTTCATAAAATATTTTGGAAATGTATTTAAAAGTAAAATAATGTGAGGTAAACCAATAAAGTTATGTGCATACTGCAAAAATCGGCACTTACAATCAACGAAAAGTAGCAAAAAGTGTTCAGCATATGCAAAAACAGCCCTTACTGCGTTACTAACGCAGTAGAAATATGGTGATAAAATACTGCAAAATCAGTCTTAAACCTACATAACATCATAACATGTAAAATATAGCTTGGACCTTGAATGTTTTAACCTTTCTTAAAAGTTTAGTACACTGTTCTCAATATTGGTTTTCTTGAAATATTTTGAGGCGTGCAGCTTGAACGGTCAAATCCATTTTCATCTTACATAAAATATTCGTTGAAATGTCCATTGAGCTAAAATTGTTAGCTTTACAATACTTTGTCAAACTTAGAATTACATAAGCGATGGATAATTGAATAAACATATGTTAAAATTCAGCCTCACATCATGAAGATTTATTATTGAATGCAAAACCAATACTTTAATCCATTTTTTTTTACTCATATTCTGAATGTAAAACGATCTATAGTAAATTAAAAAACAATTGTTTAAATAGTCTTCTAATACAACAATTCAGTGTAATTCTCTAGAAAAACAAAGGCTTATGTCATCAAGTACGCGTACCAGATAATTTCTAGAAGAGTATCATCATACCATTGTTACCCCTATTATGGAAGCATTGTCAAATTTGGCAATATTCTTTGCTGTGAAAATGTTCGATTGAATTTAACATTGTTATCAAGCTGTAGTTATATTTCTTATTTTCTACAATCGTGAAAGGAAACAAAACCCAAAGGACTTTTCTTGCTTTCATGATTAACAAATGTGTTTATCTTTTCCCAAAATGCCTATTTACAAAGCATTCATATGACAAAACTAACTGGATTCAATTAACACGTTTTATTTATGATGTATAATATATCCCGGATGAAATGTATTTTTTGTAAACAGTGTCGTAAAACATGTGCTATTTTTGAATATTTAATAGATTGTATAGGTCACATTTTGCAAATCTCGGGAATGTCGACTACTTAACTATGTGATAAACAACTATATTGTTCTAAACATCGAAAGCAAGTACAAATATTTTACTATATTAATTTACTTATATCTACAACAAATTTACTTACCCAACTTGGATAATTTAAACAAAGTAGAATTACAGTCTAAATTGATTTAAATCAATGATTGAACTGATTCGTTCTTATATTACTTAAACTAATTATGAGAAAACTAAATGAGAACATTAGGCAACGTTTACATAACCTTATTTGATTTGCAGAATATATGTCATAAATTTAAAACAAATAGAATAAACTGCTGTTAACTCTTTTTATAAAAACGCCACGCTTGCAAATACAGTCGAGACTGCCTTAGCGACCCCCTGATTTAAACGACTCCCTGTCTTATCCGACCTTGTTTCAGTACTCCCAACGTATTTTCCTATATAAATGGTCTGAATTAAACGACTCCCTGTCATATGTGACAAGCGACCCTAATTGTCAGGTCCCAACGCAATGTTTGGTCTTATTTAAACGACTTTCACACCTTTTAATTGTCCGATAAATCAGATAAATAATACCTATTATAACACCCAGAGGGCTAAAATAATTAAGTCCAATTATAATCCAGTAGCAAACAAAGTCTAGTACTCTACACACCTCTATCTCAATTACACAGTTGACATGTATAAATGCAGGTATCAAGTGACGTAGCGTCTGTTTATGGGAAGCATGACGCAATCGATGTGTGTGTAATGTACATTATGCCAATTATGGCCTGAGTAAACTGGTTAAGACTTGTGTTAGATTTTTTTTTTAATTAAAGAGTGCCCACGGAAGATTTTTTAGGCAGCATATTTTTTTATTTACCTTTTTATGACTGCATAAATAATACGGAAAAAATATTGATACTAAACCAGAAAAAGCTTTGGATATGGATATGTTGAAAGATCCTGTAACACAATTTTTCATGGTTTTATTTCATAAATATGATGCTCAAATTAAGATTTGTCAATATTGTAAGTTCAAATAAGCATTATTTATAAAGATATCACCCAATTTAACATGTAATATAAATAAAGGCCATTAAAGGGAGGTAATTAGAACTTTATTTTCTATAAATTCTAAGTTAAATTTTCCAATAAGTAATCAATGCATGTAATTTATTGATTAAATATAATGTGCACAAATATTTTCAGTACACATTTTACATATTCTTTGATGTTTGAAAGTTGTTTTATTTGCATAATTATATCCATATATCTTTTTTGCAAGTGTGGTATACACTCTGTAACAATATCAATCACAAAACATAAAGGATCCTTGTCACAATGGTATAAAGAGAGCTAGATGATACTTAAATTTAATTTTCTTTGAGACTGTATTAAGAGACTCCCTGTCATATGTGACCTTTTTCTGAAGATCCCTTGGAAAGTCACATATGACAGTCTCGACTGTAATAGAAAACTAATATTACATCGACTTATGTTTAGATGTTTTTTTTCTTGTACATGAACACTAAATAATATTTAGTTTATAATATATGAATGAACTAGCTTGCGAATAATCAGCTTTGCATGAACAAATACGTATGCAACTAACTGTTCAAAGAATAGGTGAAATATGTTTGTAGTTTTTAACATGTAACAATGTGTTGAATATTGCATTTAAACAGTATCGTTTAACCCAAAATTCTTTTCACATTCAATGCAGTTAAATCACATGAATATAGTGTCTCTATTATAAGGTTATATCTCCTTTCATTTGATTGTTGAGCAGCTCAGAGTTTAATCAATTGATTTAACGCAATGTTTGCGCATGATTAGGCTGCTGATTGGCTCTGTCGTGCATTGTTTGTGTTACTGGATTAAAGCGGAATTAGTTGCTAATGAAGCCAATGCTGACACATACACGCTGATTGTTACAATGGACAAGAGCACGGGGCATTATTAGCTAAAGCACAAGAACAATATCTTCTTTGAATAACCATTGAAGTTGGTATCTATAATTGGATACAAGTGATAATGCTTTTATCTTCACTATTGTAATATTAGAATTATCCGTGAACAAGAATATTTACGTTTCCAAAAGGTAATGAAGTGGAATACTTGTTCACTGCTATATTGACGTCAAGTAAAGGTTGAACAACAACAACAAAATATCTATAAAATCAATGAGCTAACTACAACCAAATTAACGATATAATTATGAAAAAGTACATACATAAGCGGACATATCAGTTTTGATATTTGATAGAAAAACGTGACATACACAGAAATAAAGATCTGTCGGAGAAAACTTTGTATTTCCCGATATGCCACATGTATTTTTTTTCTTTTGTTCATTTTGTTTGTTTGTTTGGTTTTTTTTTTGCAAAAAATTTAAAATGCAAAAACTTTGCTACATATTATGCAAATATAGTTCTACTTTTATCTCTAATGTATATATGACTCTCTTAAGAAAGATTTAACGCACGGATAAATCTAATTTATTTTTTGTTTAACCTAGGAGTTAAGATAAAAGAATCTGTCATTTACAAAATTGCCATTATAGTAATAATTTAACGACATCTATTCAAATGTAAAATGTCATTACCTTTAATGAATATGACGGAGAAGTTATACAAGTTTTATATAAGCATGTAATTGAAATAAGACTGCAAGATTCTGATGTTTCAATTTGATTTTTACCTATATGATAATTTAACCAAAAGAGCAATAAGTTAATTTCCCATTTTTATGATCTCTCTTATCACTCTTATCCGAATGGGATAACCATGGAAACCGCTCCTTGTAATATCAA